TTTTTTTGGTGATGAAAATACATGTACATGTACATTTAAGACGTGGCGAAAAGATATATATATATATATATACATAACCGTCGTTTTCCTCACATTTTCAATTCGAAAGAATTGACCGACTTGCTGTAGGTAAGGTAGCAAGGCGGGACACCCAGCAAGGCGGGATAGTAAGGCGGGATAGTAAGGCGGGACAGTAAAACCTGCTCCTCTTCTTTTTCAATGAATCGAAATCCTAACCAACTAATCAATTAACCAACCATTATACAATAATAACAATAATAAGAATAATAATAATAAATTTTTTTTTTCTTGTATCAAAAAATATATCGTACTAAGTGTGATATTTCATTTGAAAAACGATCGAATAATTTTTTATTCTTAGTTGTTATTTTATTATTCCTCTTTTTATCGTGCTGAGTTGAAAAAAGGAGTGGAAAATAATGCTTTTAGTGTACCGTATGTATAGGTAAGTAACTTTTTCGATTTTTGGTAATGGGTAGGTATATTATATTAGGATTGTTGGCGCGTTTATAAGTATTTATTGGAATGAGCGAGGAATAGGACCTAGGTACGGAAGATCGGACTTTGAGTCTGAGATCTTTCGAGAGGATGAATAGGTGCTTTGTTGGCAGGTTTGATTTGGTGATGGATGGATACTTTTAGTGGTTTGATAGATTGAATGAATGTTTTGTTTTGAATTTATATAATGGTTTTTATTATTTTTTTATTTTTGCTAATTAATTAAAGTGGTAAGTTGTTCAGATATTCGTAGTAATCGTCGGTTTCCTCAAATTTTCAATTCGAGAGAATTGACCGACTTGCTATAAGTAAAGTAGCAAGTCGGCACTACCAAAGCGGGATAGTAAAACCTGCTCCTCCTCTTTTCAACGAATCGAAACCTAACTAACCAAACCAACCAACCATTATACAATAATAATAATCATAATAACATTTTTTTTTTTTTTGTATCAAAAAATACATCGTATCAAATATGATATTCCATTTAAAAACAAATCGAATAATTTTTCATTACTAGTTGTTATTGTATTATTATTCCTTTTATTATGCGGAGTTGAAAAAAGGAGTGGAAAACAATGCTTTTAGTATACCGTATGTATAGGTAGGTAACTTTTCGATTTTTAGTAAAGAGTATATTAATTATATTAAGATTGTTAGCGCGTATATACTTATTAAAATAAGCGAGGAATAAGTAGGTACGGAAAATCGGACTTTAGATTTGAGATCTTTCGAAAGGATGAATAGGTGCTTTGTTGGCAGGTTTGATTTGGTGATGGATACTTTTAGTGGTTTGATAGATTGAATGTTTTGTTTTCGATTTATGTGATGGTTTTTTTTTTAAAAAATTAATTAAAGTGGTAAGGTGTTTAGATATTTGCAATGAACAAGTAAATTTGAATTATTTGGGACAGTTTTTTTAGCTCTATATATTTTTTATTTGCATTTAATGTATTGTATCATCAAAAATAAATGCATTTTTATATTTTTAATTTACATTTATAAGGCGAGGTTTTTTAAGTATATTAATAATTTTTTATTTTTATTTATACTAATAGTTGTTGTTTAATAAGTGGTATACCGTTACTGTCCCGCCTTGGTGGTGCCGACCTGGCTGCGCCAGGTCGGGATTTTTTACAAATTAAATTCAAGATAACCGACGATTAACATAAATATGAAGGAAAAAAAAATATTTTTTTACATGCCTAGAAAAAAACCCTTTTGCTTTACTCTCTAAATGTAGATTGAAAAGAAAAAAAGAAAAAAAGCATCAAGATGCATTCCTTCATTTTTTTTTTAGTGATTCATTTTTTTTCAGTGATGGAAATACATGTACATTTAAAACGTGGCGAAGACATATCTATAATTTTTTTTTAAAAAAAAAATATTTGGGTCTTTGAATAATTTCAAAAAAAAAAAATTGTTTTTTTGCTGCGAAGGTCTAGCTTTTTGATTGATTGATTGATTGATTGATTGATTGATGAAAATCAAGCCGAATTGGGAAAGAGGAAAA